AAATACAAATTTTAGTCCCACTTTTGACAAAATGCCTAGAATGTTATCATATGACCTCACTTTGTTTATTGTTTAGTCTCCTTTGATCATATGGTGTTTCTTCCTATCAAGATATTGTTGTAGTACTAGATATATTTTTGCAGACCCACATAACAAAATGAAATAAAGGCCAAGTGTGGTGGCTCACACCTGTAATCCCAGCACTTTAGGAGGCTGAGGCAAGAGGATTGCCTGAGCCCAGGGGTTCGAGACTAGCTTGGACAACATAATGAGATCTCATCTCTAAAATAAAATCAAAAAATTAGCAGGGCATGGTGGCACATGCCTGTAGTCCCAGCTACTTGGGAGGCTGAGGCAGAAGGATCCCCTGAGCCCAGCAGGTTGAGGTTACAGTAGCTGTGATCGTGCCACTGCACTCCAGCCTGGGCGACAGAGTAAGACTCTGACTCAAGAAAATAAAATAAAATAAAAATAAAAATTTGTCATGAATATTTAATCATATGAAAAATATAAAGAATAACATAACCAATACCCACATACCTGCTATCCTACAGCTTAAGGAATAAAACATTCCCAAAAGAGCCAATGTATCTGTGTTCCCATCTGCCAAAACCAGTAAGTTAGCATTCCATCTATTTCTACCCCGTATGTAGTGTCCCAAAGCAATGTAGGGTGGTGTTTTGCTTGGGTTTTTCAACTTATCAGACCACGATCCTCGTGAATACATTCCTCTACAACTTCTTTTTCGCAGCATTGAGAAGGCCAGGCATGGTGGCTCATGCCTATAATCCCAGCACTTTGGGAGGACAAAGTGAGAGGAATGCCTGAGCCCAGTAGTTCGAGACCAGCCTGGGCAACATGGTGAGACCATGTCTCTGCGATAAATCAAAAATTCAGCTGGATGTTGTGGCACACGCCTGTAGTCCCAGCTACTTGGGAGGCTGGAGCAGAAGGATCGCCTGAGCCCAGCAGGTTGAGGCTGCAGTAGCCATGGTCGTGCCACTGTACTCCAGCCTGGGCAACAAAGTAAGACCCCGACACACACACACACACACACACACACATTGAGAAGTTCACCCATCTGGTCCATACAGTTCTAATCCATTCGTATTCACTACTGTGTTTTTTAAATCCTTTCTCCTTTTGGTAGACACTTAGATTCTTTCCAACTTTGGCTACTAGCAAAAATACTGTTGAAAACATTTTTGTGCGTGGCTTTTGTGTAAAGTAAGAATTTGTCTGGCCGGGTGTGATGACTCAAGCTTATAATCCCAGAACTTTGAGAGGCCGAGGTGAGAGGATTGCCTGAGCCCATGGGTTTGAGACCAGACTGGGCAATGGTGAGACCTCATCTCTACAATAAATCAAAAAATAAGCTGGGCATGGTAGCACACACCTGTAATTCCAGCTATTTGGAAGGATCGCCTAAGCCCAGTAGGTCGAGGCTGCAGTGGTCGGGAGCATGCTTCTACACTCCAGGCTGGGTGACAGAGTAAGACTCCAACTCAAAAAAAAAAAAAAAAAAAAGAATTTGTCCAGCATATACAACTGAGATTATATTTTTGACTTCACTAATATTGTCAAATTCATCTTCACCATGGTTGTACCTTTATAGAGCCACAACCATACAGAATTGTCAGATGAGTTCATTCTTGCTGGTTGGATGGTGGCAAACAGAATATCATTGTGTTAATTTGCATTTCTCTACCATTGAGACAGGCCATTCCTGTTTTCTCATTTAGGGTTTGTTGCTTTCCTTTGTATTTTTATCAGTTTGTCTTTTTTTCTTTTTGATTTGTAGGAATTCTTTACATATTGTAAATTTTGATCTTTTGTCTTTTCATTTGTATTTTTATTCATTTATTTATTTAATTTGGAATTGAGGTCTCCCTGTCACCCAGGCTGGAGTGTAGTGACACAATCACAGTTCACAGCAGCCTCAACCACCTGGGCTCAGGAGATCCTTCCCCCTCAGCCTCCTGAGTAGCTGGGACTACAGATGTGTGCTACCACATCCAGCTAGGTTTTTTATTTTTTATTTTGTAGAGATGAGGTCTCACTATGGTGCCCAGGCTGGTCTCAAACTCTAACCTCAAGTAATCCTCTGCCTAAGCCTATCAAAGTGCCGAACTGCAGGCTTGAGCCACCATGCCTGACCTTATTTTAATGTAGTTAAACTTATCCAACTTTCCTTTGTTTCTTAATTAAGAAAGCATTTCCCATCCTAAGCTCCAAAGAATACACTGCTATACGTTCTTCCAAACATTTCAAGCTTTGCTTTCTATATTTATGTCTTTAACCCATCTTTGCCTAACATGACCTCAAAAAAGGGTGGATTCTATTTGTCAAGCCTCAATAAAGCTAGGGTGGAAACAAAAGAAATAGAGAGGGTGGAACAATGACAATGAATTTCACTGCATGATAAAATGAGAAGAATCTTGAATTCCTTCTGGTAACCTTGGGGAGAGAGAGACAAGGAGGTGGCAATTAAAGAGAAGGTGTGGCCAGGCGAGGTAGCTCACGTCTATAATTCCAGCACTTTGGGAGACAGAGGTGAGAGGATTGCCTGAATCCATGGGTTCAAGACTAGCCTGGGAAACTTGGTGAGACCTCATCTCTACAATAAATCAAAAAATTACTGGAGGTGGTGGTGCGTGTCTGTAATTCCAGCTACTTGGAAGGCTGAGGTGCAAGGATCACCTGAGACCTGAGCAGGTCAAGGCTGTGGTAGCCATGAGAGTGCCACTGCAGACTCAAAAAAATAATAATGATAAATAAAAATCAGAGTGCAGCATGTTTCCAAGATAGACAATATCACACCTGGCTGTTACCTGGTCTGTCTTTCCCCCCTTAGTGTTGTCTCTGTGGTGAGATCCATAAATGGAGGTTCTAGGCACGGTTCTGCATGGTGCTAGAATCTGCTGGGCTTCTGGTAAGGCCTCAGGAATCTTCTATTCGTGGCAGAAGGCAAGGGAAGATGGCATATCACATGGAAGCAAGAGAGGGAAGAGATGCCAGGCTCTGTTGCTTTCATTTCTGTAACCCTGGAGCCTGTTCAGTACATATTGAATGAAAAAGCAATTTTTTTTCATGGAACAAAAGACAAATGGACATCTTTCTATAGGAGAAAAGAATCACTCTAGGATGAAGAGGGGATGAGGCTCCTGTTCCTGGGGAGGAGTCAGCACCACCACCATCCTCTTGGTGAAAAAAAAAAAAAAAACCTCTTCCCTGGCTGGAAGAGTCATGAAGGGAAGGCCCAGAAACACGGAAAGCCAAGTTGCTGTTGCCTGGACTCACCACATGTAAAACACACACACACACACCATTTGACTCTTTGTGACTCTTCAAGATTTGAAGTTAGAATTAAATTAACAGGACATGACACTGCCCCTGATTTTAGTCTACTCTTATAAGCACAGAAAACTGAACTCCAGGAGACTGGAACCCAGGAAGGGATGGAGAATCATGCCCACGGGCTCTGAATATGAAGCCACTCACAGAATATACAAAATACATTTTTAGCTGAAACCTCATGCAAGAAATATCCAAAGCAGACTCTAGAGACAAAATATATTTAAAATTAGCTCATTTAAAATTAATAAGTAAATTGAGTCACAATCAATTATAAAAACAGGGTCAGCTTTAAAGAAAACCAACAAATTTTACTGAGCACCTATTATCTACTGATACTGAGAATATACTGGAAAAGCAAATAGACCTTGTCCTCATGAAACTTACAGTCCAATGGAAACAGATGGATATGAATCAGGAATTATAAATAGATAATCAAATAAGTGTGTTGTAAAGGAGAGGATTTGCCTTAAAATTTCTGAATTCAGTCATGATAAAGGTCACATGGGGCTGGGTGTGGGTGCCTCACCTCTGTAATCCTAGCACTTCAGTAGGCCAAGATGGGAGGATTGCTTGAGTCCAGGAGTTCAAAACCAGCCTGGGCAACACAGTGACACCTAATCCCAGCACTTTGGGAGGCTAAGGCAAGTGGATTGCCTGAGTCCGCTGGCTCAAGACCAGCCCGGTCACTTTGGCGAGAACTCGTCTCTACGATAAAAAATTATCTGGGTTTGGTAGCGTGGCGCCTATAGTTCCAGTTACTTGGAAGGCTGAGGCTGAAGGATTGTCGGTTGACACTGGGGTGGCCATGAGCATGCCACTGCACTCCAGCCTGGGCAACAGAGTGAGACTCCAACCCTCCCCCCCAAAAATGCAAAAATTAGCTGGGCATGGTGGCATGGGCCTATAGTCCCAGGTACACGGGAGGCTGAGGTGGAAGGATCTCCTGAGCCCAGAGGTTGAGGCTGCAGTAACATGATTACACCACTGTACTCCAGCCTGAGCAACAGAGTAAGACCCTGTCTCAAAAAAAAAAAAAGAAAGAAAGAAAGAAAGAAAGAAAGGCCGGACTCAGTGGCACAGCCTGTAATCCCAACAGTTTGGGAGGCCGAGGTGAGTGGATTGCCTGAGCCCGCAGGTTCGAGATCAGTCCGGGAAACGTGGCGAAACCTCGTCTCTACAATAAATCAAAAAATTAGCTGGGTGTAGTAACGTGTGCCTGTAGTTCCTGCTACTTGGAAGGCTGAGGCGGAAGGATCACCAGATCCCAGCAGGTCGACGCTGGGGTGGCTGTGAGTGTGCCACTGTACTCCAGTCTGGGCGACAGAGTGAGACTCCAACTCAAAAAAAAAAAAAAAATCATCAGAGTGCAAATGATTATACTTCAAATGCATATGGAAGCTTCACTGAGTATGGGCACAGCATGCTGTCTTGGGGCCTCAGAACTGCTCTCCTGAGTGCAGCCAATGCAAATGTGCCATGAGAAGGCAACAAAGGTAGAAGGGAGCAGATGACACCAGTCCTGACCTCGAAAGGACAAGACTCTCCTTATTCAAAAGACCAAGTGCTACTGAACCAAGTTACAGATCTTAACAATAAAAGATCATTGTAAAAGAGATACTTTAATGCATGCCGGGAAAGAGATGTCAGGAGCAAACATCCTGGTGTTTCTCAGTAGCAGGTAAATAGTGGTATTCTGTGTTCCCTTTCCACACAGGGAACACCTGAGATCCTACAGACAGGACACACGGGGAAGACACATCCCGAGATATGTGCATCAGGTACACGCCAAAGTTCACCTGCGAACAAAGCAACAGCAGCAACAGAAAAGCTAGATTATTTTAGCAGTTAGAATAATTTTGTAAATAATGTTTTGTAAATAATGTTGGTCTTTACAGACGTGGACTGAGGCCAGGCACGGTGGCTCATGCCTGCAATCTCAGCACTTTGGGAGGTCAAGACGGGAGGACTGCTTGAGCCCAGGAGTTTGAGACCAGCCTAGGCAACATAGCAAGACCTCATCTCTATAAGATAAAAAAATAAATTAGCTGGATATGGTGGTGCATGCCTATAGTCCCAGCTACTCAGGAGGCTGAGGTGGAAAGACTGCCTCAATCCAGGAGGTTGAGGATGTGGTGAGCTATGATCACGTCACCGCCCTCCAGCCTGGGCGATAGAGACTAACTCAAAAAAGAAAAAAAAATAAGACATTATTGAGACTTGATATGTCCTGTTACAGAGTAAAATGCAGAGAATCCTAACTTCAGACCTTAGAGATTCTCATTCTAAGGCACCCTTTCCTGGTGATCACCCTGCATCTCTCTTTCCTTCTTTCTTGCTTCCCTCCTTCTTTTCTTTCATCTCTTTCCCACATCCCCTGAGCTTCCTGCAAGAGGAGCTTCTTCCTAATCACAGCTGCTGGCCATCACCTGAACAACTTCCTCTCTGCTCCCTGATGTAAAAGCCCTTTGGGGAAGATAATGCCCAAATCCCACATTTTCCTTGAAAACGAGTGACGTAAGCTAATTTCTTCAAATTCTCCTGAATCAAGATGGCAGGGCCACAATGCAGAATTCGATAAGTCTGCTGAAGGCTAGCCAGCAGCTGGGTGCAGGGGCTCACGCCTGTAATCCTAACACATTGTGAGACTGAGGCAGGAGGACTGCTTGAGCCCAGGAGTTCGCAGCCAACCTGGGCAACATAGCAAAGCCTCTCTAATTTTAAAAAATAATAAAATAATTTTTAAAAATAATAAAATAATTTTTTGAAATATAAAAGGCTACCATCGATGAAAGCGAGCCAGTAAGGACCTTTTGGAGGACCTGACATGCTCCCAGATCTGTCAGCTCCTCTGATAGCATCTGTGGAATGCCCTCGCGTTCCAGGCCCAGGCTAGGGGATGGGGTCACATTAATTCCTTACAATGTGTGCACGTGTGGGTGAAGGGTACACAGGAACTCTCTGCCCTCTTTTTGCTACTTTTCTGCAAATCTAAAATTATTCCAGCAGGGAGAAGTAGCTCACACCTGTAATTCTGGCACTTCGGGAGTCTGAGGTGAAAGGATTGCTTGAGCCCAGGGGTTCAAGATCAGCCTGGGCAACTTGGCGAGTCCTCGTCTCTACAGTAAATCAAAAAATTAGCCAGGGGTGGTGGCATGTACCTGTGGTTCCAGCTACTTGAAAGGCTAAGGCGGAAGAATCGCCTGAGCCCAGCAGGTCAAGGCTGCAGTAGCCGTGAGCATGCAACTGCATTCCAGCCTGGGTGACAGAGACTCCAACTCAAAAAAAAAATGAAAGAAAACTGGTTCCTAAAGAAGGTGGGGCATAGTGGAAAGTATGTGGGTCATAGAGCAGGTCCCTTGTGAATGACTTGGTGCCATCCTTACAGTCACGAGTGAGTTCTTGTTCTATTCGTTCTTACGAGAGTTGGTTGTTTAAAAAGCCAGCTCCTCTTTCCCTCTTGTGCTTCCACTCTCACCATATGACACGCCTGCTCCCCCTCCGCCTTCTACCATGAGTAAAGGCTTCCTGAGGCCTCACAAGGCAAGTGTATGCTGGTGCTATGCAGAACCACAAGCCAAACAAATCTCTTTTCTTTAAACACATCCAGCCTTGAGTGTTCTTTTGAAACAACACAAAATGGATTGACTGGGCACGGTGGCTCACGCTTGCAATCCCAAGCACTTTGGAAGGCCAAGGCGAGAGGATTGCCTGAACTCAGGAGTTCGAGACCAGCCTGAGCAACATGGCGAGACCTTGTCTCTACAATAAATCAAAAAATCAGCCGGGCGTGGGGGCACATGCCTGTGGTTCCAGCTACCTGCAAGGCTGAAGCAGAAGGAACTCCTGAGCCCAGCAGGTGGAGGCGATAGAGTGCAACTCCAACCCAAAAAAAAAAACAACAAAAAACAAAACACACAAAATGGACTGAGATTCTCGGCATGTTAGTCAATCATGCACCAGACTCAAGACAGAGTGTCCGGTTTTGCAGTCACACTGACCTTTTTCTCTCGATTCTCAGAAAGCTTTTGGAAAACATCTTGGCGCCGTTGCCCGGTTTTCTGGTCTATGCAAATCATCTGGCATCTGTGACAAGGCCCCTGAACCTGGCAAGTGAGAAGGGAAAAGATAGTACTGCCATGAAAGTGGCCAGAGCCTTACATTTTACAGGAAGGAATGGCACAGAAATGTCCAGTACCCTAACTACAAATAACTTTGGAGATCCCAAAAATGACACCATGCCCACTGGTGTCAGCTGAAAGGCCACTGCTTAAGAGCCTTGCAGAGAAAGAAAAGAGTAGCTGGGAATCTTGATGGCTCTCAGGGAATGCTGGGGAATGAACACGAGAAAGCAAAGCACTCAGTGCATGGGAGGACAAGTTGGAAAGGGACACAGTCGCAGACCCAGCACTGGCCCTGGTAAGAAGGTCATCAGAAAGAAACTTCATGTGTCCGTGCCCTCTGGCCCAGCAATTTCACGCCTGGGAATCTAACACAACAAAGGAATCAGAAACCCAAGCACAGAGTCATGTGTGAGGATCTGTCCTCACATTATTTATAATACAGAGAAACCTGGTAACATCTTAGACATCACATAGTGGAGAGAAATGGTTCGGCAAACTATGCTACATTTACATGTTGTATATCAAGTGGGTATTAAATTAGTCTACAAGGGCCTTTCAATAAAATGGAGAAATATTTATTTTCAAGATTGAAATAAGGCCAAGCACAGTGGCTCGTGCCTGTAATCCCAGCACTTTGGGAGGCCAAGGTGGGAGGATCGCTTGAGGCTAGGAGTTCAAGACCAGTCTGGGCAAAAAATCAAAAAATTCACCAGGTGTGGTGTTGCACACCTGTAGTCCCAGCTACTCAGGAGGCTGAGGAAGAAGGATCTCACTGAGTCCAGGAAGTTGAGGCTGCAGTGAGCTATGATCGTACCACTGCACTTCAGCTTGGGCAACAGAGTAAGAACCCAACTCAAAAAAAGAAAAATTGAAATAAGCATGAAACAAAATTATATATGTATTTTTATATGTGTATGTATATGTATACTCCTGTATACAGACACCTACACACACACACACACACACAGACACACACACACACACACTACATAAAACACAGTACACAGCTTCTTAACACTGGGCTATATGGTATAACTTCAATACTGAGTGGTCTACCATGAGCTTTTAGTGCTTTTATACTACAAAAACCCCCATAAATGTGAACATAAAAAAAGAAAGTATGCAGCTCAGGAGAAGTTACTTTCATGCACCCATAAAAAGTGCAAAGGGGCCAGACATGCCTGTAATCCCAGCACTTTAGGAAGTTAAGATAGGAGGTTCTCTTGAGCCCAGGAGTTTGAGACCAACCTGAGCAACATAATGAGAACTCATCTTGATAAAAAATTTTTTAAAAAATTAGCCAGGCATGGTAGCACACACATGTAGTCCCAGCTGCTCGGGGAGGCTGAGGTGGAAGGATCACCTGAGCCCAGGAGTTTGAGGCTGCAGTGAACAGTGATCGTGCCACTGCACTCCAACCTGGGTGACAAAGTAAGACTCCAACTCTAAAAGAAAAAAAAATGCAAAAGAACTTGATTTTCCTATAACCACTTTCTCCTTGACTCATACATGAGCAAATACCAATTGTGCACTGACATTAGAGGCACTCGCCTAATCTGGATGTGTCTTGGCTGTTCCTGTGGCTTCACCTAGGACTGGACAGTCCTGATCACTGTCCAGGCCTCCCTTCCACATCAGTTCCTCAGCTGAGTTTGCTGAGGATTCCAGACACTATTTGGGGGATGCTGAGACCAAGCCCAGCTCTTTGTCATGCTTAAAATGGAAACTCACTGTTATCCAAGAAGGTCCCTGCGAGGGAACGACGCTTTTGCATGTTTGCCCTGGAGGGGCCAGTGTGGCTCTCAGTGTACACATCCCTCTCACCGCTAATCCTAAAAAATAGCTGATGCTCTGCGCCTGGCTTCACAGGAAGGGTGCCAGGGGCCCTGAGCATACAGCAGCCCGGCCAAAGCTCCAGGGGCCACCTGACAGGCAACACCTTCTGCAAAAATCCTGCCACTTCGGTGAAAAGGCCCTCTTAAAATAGTTTCTCAGCCAGGCTCAATAGCTCATGCCCGTAATCCCAGTGCTTTGGGAGGCTGAGGTGGGAGGATAGCTTGAGGCCAGAAGTTCAAGACCAGTCTGGGCAACATAGTGAGACCCCATTTCTACAAAGTATCAAAAAATCAGCTGAGCGTGGTGGTACATATTTGTAATCCCAGTTACTCAGGAGGCTGAGGCAGGAGAATCACTTGAGCCCAGGAGTCCAAGGTTGCAGTGAGCTATGATCACGCCACTGCACACCAGCCTAGGCAACAGAGCAAGATCCTATCTCTTAAAAAGAAAAAAGAAAAAGAAATAGCTTCTTAAACTGGCAGAAAGAGGGACATTTTCCAGATACTTTGCAAACACCAGTACAAAGAAAGCAATTTTCTGAAGACATTGACATTATTAAGTTTTTTTTTCTAGTACTCTTGGCAACTGGTATTTAAAAACTTGTTTACCAGCTGGTATATTCAGTGAAAAATAAGTCAAACAATATATAATATTAAAGAATTAAAAGAGAAAGCACCCAGCAGTGGCCCCTCTCCCCATCCTCAGGCCACCAAGACCACCCAGACTACCGAGATCACCCCAGACCACCGAGACCACCCCAGACCACCCCAGACCACCAAGACCACCCCAGACCACCGAGACCATCCCAGACCATCAAGACCACCGCAGACCATCCCAGGGCACTTCAAACCACCCCAGACCACCTCAGATCACCCTAGACCATTGAGACCACCCAGACCACTCCAGATCATCCGAGACTACCCCAGACCACTTAAGACCATCGAGATCACCCCGGACCACCCCAGACCACAGTGTGCAACCGCACACAACTGTGTCAACATGCTCACTGGGGTCTCAGAGCCCACGTAGGTTTCTTTCTTCCTCAATTACTCCACAGTATATAATTGACACCCTTTCAAGTCAGGACATGGAGAGCATTTTGCAATTTTCCAAGATCCTGTCGCTCCTGTAGATTTAAACACTTAGCTCTTCTTTGAAACCATGTGAACCATTTCTAATGCTTTGCTGTTATCATATCAATAATTTTACAGTAAAGGCCTAATTCACATAATTTCCTGTTTGGATTTATTTTTTAGGATCAATATCCCAAAAAGAGATTATAAGATCAATAGGAATAAAAGCATTTATTAATTGATAATACCCAGTAAAAAATTGCTTTCTAAATGAGATGTGCTACTTTCAAAGAAACAGCTTCAGGACTGAGTATCATCATCAACAAACATCCTTTTTTTAAATCTTTTTAAAGAGATAGGGTCTTGCTCTGTCGCCCAGACAAGAGTGCAGTAGCCCGATCATACCTCGCTGCAGCCTAGAACTCCTGGACTCAGACAATCCTCCCACCTCCTGAGTAGCTAGAACTATAGACATGCACCACCATGCCCAGCTTATTTTTTATTTTTTGTAGAGACAAGGTCTCAATATGTTGTCCAGGCTGGTCTCGATCTCCTGCCCTCAAGCGATCTTCCTGTCTCAGCCTCCCAAAGTGCTAGGATTACAGGCATGAATCACCATGTCTGGTCAACAAACATCTTTTCCGCATTTGCTTTAGAGAAAGGCACAGTATTAATGATATCTTAAACTCTTAAATACCTGCGCTTTGACTACTTTGTATAGATTAGCATACTTGATTTAACCAAACTCCCTATTATGACTATTTAGATGTTTCTCGATTTTTCATAATTATTAATATACTACAATAAGTAATCTTGTAATTAATCTTTGCATAGCTGCATGAGTGTTTCTTTTTTTCTTTTTTTTTTTGAGTTGGAGTCTCACTCTGTTGCCCAGACTAGAGTGCAGTGGCCGCTCCCGGCCACCGCAGCCTCAACCTGCTGGGCTTCGGCAATCCTTCCGCCTCAGCCTTCCGAATAGCCAGAACTACAGGCACGCACCACCATGCCCGGATGATTTTTTTGATTTATTGTAAAGATGAGGTCTTGCCAATTGCCCAGGTGGGTCT